CAAGCCTTACCAGCCCAACCGCCCAACCAGCACATTCTATAAACAGCCACTTTTCACATCCCTGCAATTAGACTGTCTACCACAGCCTCGGGGCCTCGGGGCCTGACCTTCCACCACCCCCTTGTTCGCTGCATTCTGACCATGCTGACCCCCCCACCACACACACACCCGCTGCTCCTGCCTCAGGGCCTTTGCACTTGCCTCTCCTTGGACGGTCCTGGCTCCCAGGTCCTCTCCTCCAGATCTCACTGGTCATTCAGGGCCCCGTCACCTCTCCAGGGCGCCCTCCTTGAGTGCCGACCCAAGCAGGCCCTTGCCAGTCCCTCCCAGTCCATCCCCTGCTGCATTTCCTTCTTAGCACTGATCTTTCCCTGCCCTCCTGGGTGCTAATTTCCTGTGGTACACATAGTCCGCAGCACAGTCCCTGGTACAGAATAGGGCTTCAATTCATAATTGTAACATAAAGGAATGAATAAAACAACAAATTCAGCAGACCAACCAGGACTGAATCAGATCTCCCAGGAATAGATGCTTTTAAAGAAAAAAAGACACTGTAGGGAGCAATTCCCAGAAGAAACCACCGCTTTGTAAGAACCCCCTTCTCTCCTGCTTCCTCCAACCTAAATTTGCCCAATGGCAGCCTTGACTCTAGGCTAAAGTACTAGGGAAATGCCCACAGCACCACCTCTTTCTTCTCCTGGCTTTGCCACCAAAGGGCTGGGCACACCAAGCTTGCAGAACTGAGTTAAATCAGAGAGTCATCTCACCACTTACACGAATTTTCTGGGTAGCAACATTTTTTTTTTTTTTTTTTTTTTTTTGAGACAGAGTTTCGCTCTTGTTACCCAGGCTGGAGTGCAATGGCGCAATCTTGGCTCACCGCAACCTCCACCTCCTGGGTTCAGGCAATTCTCCTGCCTCAGCCTCCTGAGTAGCTGGGATTACAGGCACGCGCCACCATGCCCAGCTAATTTTTTGCGTTTTTTTAGTAGAGACGGGCTTTCACCATGTTGACCAGGACGGTCTCGATCTCTTGACCTCGTGATCCACCCACCTCGGCCTCCCAAAGTGCTGGGATTACAGGCTTGAGCCACCGTGCCCGGCGGTAGCAACATTTTAAGTCCCTCAAACTTTTCTTAAGATGTCTTTGGCTGGGTGCAGTAGCTCACACCTGTAATCCCACTATTTTAGGAGGCTGAGGCAGGCAAATCACTTGAGACCAGGAGTTTGAGACCAATCTGGCCAACATGGTGAAACTCCATCTCTACTAAAAATAGAAAAACTAGCCAGGCCTGGTGGCAGATTTCTGTAATCCCAGCTACTCAGGAGGATGAGGCAGGAGAATTTCTTGAACCCAGTGGGCAGAAGTTGCAGTGAGCGGAGATCGTACCACTGTACTCCAGCCTGGGCAAGAGACCATGTCTCCAAAAAAAGAAAAAAAAAAGTTTTTGATGAAATGCTTGTTAAAATGAATAATGCATTCTTCACACAATACACTGACCTCAACTGAACTTCTACTTGACCGTTTGGGGTTGCCAGGCTCACTTACCACGTCACTGTCCTGCAGCATAGGGATGCCCATGGTGTGGCGTGTGGCAATGGAGGCACCACACCCAGAGGCTCAGGCCTCGGTGCTGTGCCTGGGTTCAGGGTCGTTGCTGTGTCCTCCCTGGCTGTCAGTGATCACCTCTTGCTGCTCATCACTCCATAGTCTCTACCACAACTTCAAATCTGCTATGATCTGAAAAACCTGTTAGAACTGTCTGCAAACCAAGAATAAACAGGACCTGCCTGAAAACTCAAGAAGCTTTCCTTTAAACAGGGTGCATGGGATTTGGCACATCTAGCTTGAGGCTCAGGGAAGATTTTCCCATCCCTCTAGGTTCCAGCTGTGCCTACAAAGTCAGAGCTGCCCTACGAGAAACTCAGAGAGCAGCAGACCCTCCCACACACGTGGTGATGAGGAGCTAAGTCCCCCAGCACTTCCCCGGGGAGGCGGTGCTGAACCTGAACTCGGAAAGCAGCTGTTCTATGGCTCCACCATAAAGCCCAGCAGCGCTCAGCAAAGCAAAGGGCGGGAGAGGCTTTTGAAAGTTCTGTGGAATCTTGTGGCTCCAAACATGTTTCCCTCAGCTTCACTCTCCTTCACTTGGGAAAACAGAGCTCTCAAGGGAGGCTTTGTGAGCAAAAAACCCGGGGCTGGTGCTGAGCACGCATTTTGACAGTGACAGCAAGGCTCAGGAGGGACAGTTTTCAAAGCAAAACAGAACCCAGGGGCTCTTCACACAGAGACTCACTGTGAAATCAGCTCTGATTCCAAATACCTTGTTTTCACCCAATTATGCCTTAGGAGGAAACTTCGTGCCTCTTTCTCTCTCTCCAATTAAAAAAAAATTTTTTTTCTCACTCTGTTGCCAGGCTGGAGTGTGGTGGCACTATCTCAGCTCAGTGCAGACTTAGCCTCCCAGGCTCAAGCAATTCTCCTGCCTTAGCCTCCCAAGTAGCTGAGATTACAGGCACTCACCACCAAGCCTGGGTAATTTTTGTACTTTTAGCAGAGAGCGGGTTTCGCCATGTTGACCAGGCTAGTCTCAAACTCCGGACCTCAGCTGATCCACCTGCCTTAGCCTCCCAAAGTGCTGGGATTACAGCACTTTGTTTTTTTCTTTTTATAAAATTATTTTTTAAGTAAACTTTTATTTACAAAAATATTTATGCAGCCGGGCGCGGTGGCTCAAGCCTGTAATCCCAGCATTTTGGGAGGCCGAGGCGGGTGGATCACGAGGTCAAGAGATTGAGACCATCCTGGTCAACATGGTGAAACCCTGTCTCTACTAAAAACACAAAAAATTAGCTGGGCATGGTGGCGCGTGCCTGTAATCCCAGCTACTCAGGAGGCTGAGGCAGGAGAATTGCCTGAACCCAGGAGGCGGAGGTTGCGGTGAGCCAAGATCGCGCTATTGCACTCCAGCCTGGGTAACAAGAGTGAAACTCTGTCTCAAAAAAAAAAAAAAAAAAAAAGAAAAATATTTATAACTAATTTTTTTTTTAATTTTTCTGAGGCTGGGCACAATAGCTCTTGCCCATAATCCCAACACTTTAGGAGGCCAAAGCTGGAGACTCGCTTGAGCTCAGGAGTTTAAGACCAGCCTGGGCAACATAGTGAGAGCTCAACTCTACAAAGCAACACAAAAATTAGCTGGGTGTGTGACGCACACCTGTGGCCCCAGCTCTTTGGGAGGCTGAGGTGGGAGGATCACTTGAGCCAGGGAGGTTCATGCCACTGTGCCCCAGCCTGGGCAACAGAGGGAAGTCCTATCTCAAAAATAAATAAATAAGTAAATAAATAAATAAATTTCTTTGTCATTAACAAAAAAATCAGCCTCTGTCCCTTGTGTTTCTTCCTTTCTGTACTGGCTAAGTCTCCCACTGAATGAGTCTAAGGGGCATGCCTACTCATAGAGGTCCAGCTCCATTTTGAGCTGTTGGGCAGGCGAGCTGGACCTCTCAGAGCACCGCCCAGAGTCAGAACTCTCCCATTCCTCACTCCTACCTTGGCTCCTGCAGTCCTGGGAAGGGGGCTGACCTGCGTTCACCAGGCCTTTCCAATCCCTCTATTCCAGGGATCTCACGGAGCTTTGAGAACCAGCAACACAGGCCACGGGGGTCATGGGGGGAGTGTGGTCTTTGAAGGCAGGTGGACGAGAGTGAATCTGGCTTCCAGCACGTTCTGCTCCCTACATGACTTAATGCTAACAAACCACTTAGTCTCCCTGAACCTTGCTTTCCTCATCAGCAAAATGGAAATAATAACACTCACTGAAGATCAAGGAGACAACACACACCAAGTGAGGCAGCAGCTCAATGGGCAGTCCTAAATGGTAGTTAGGGCCGGGCACGGTGGCTCATGTTTGTAATCCCAACACTGGGAGGCCAAGGTGGGCAAACCACTTGAGGCCAGGAGATCGAGACCAGCCTGGTTAACATGGTGAAACCCCATCTCTACTAAAAATACAAAAAATTCGCTGGGCATGGTGGTGTAGGCCTGTAATTCCAGCTGCTAGGGAGGCTAAGGCAGGAGAATTGCTTGAACTCAGGAGGTGGAGGTTGCAATGAGCTGAGATCGAGCCACTGTACTCCAGCCTGGGGAACAGAATGAGACTCTAAAACCAAAAACTAAACGGTAGTTAGTGTTATCATTATTGAGAATACCTAGAGCAGAGCAGTCAGTCCAAGTTCTCAACTCTGGCTACATTTTAAAGTGTACTAGGCAGCGTTTAAAAGATTCTGAGGTCCAGGATGGGGTCGATGTCTTCATTTGGCTACGGTCACAAAAATTCCCTTTTCACTATGCATTCCCCTCCCTTTACCTCCGCAAATCAATGCCCATGCATCCTTCCTACTGGCTCAAAGTCATCACTTCCAGGAGGCCCTCCACTGGTCTCCTCCAAGAGCCAAATGTGAATCAGAAGTCACATGGAACATGCTGCCGGATGGTAGCCTTTTCATTATGACTCAGGCGCTACATGACGAACTGTGAACAGCCTGCAGTACTGGGCCACCAGAAGTATGTGGAGGTGTCTGGATATTTGCACAGAAACATCCTGAGTCTCCAGCCACTTTGAGTCCTCCTGCTTGCTTTCTGGAGTTTTCCATCTATTCTTAGTGTCAGTAATTATAGGTTGCTTTCTCAGTACAGGTTCCTCAAATAGCGCCAACCTCCCCTCTAATTTGGATTGAGAAGGCAGATGAACCTGCTGGTTCAAACTGTGTGTAGACCAAGAAGAGACAGACCTGGGGAAGACTCCTGTGGGGCAAATCTCGAGCTTAGGATCCCAGTCCCCGCTCTCACCAGCCATGGCCCCTCAGTGTACCTCAGTTTGCCCGGCCGGATGAGATGGTTTCCAGGGAGTCTAACATTTGGTGTTGCACCAAATTCTTCCAGGCATGGAATTATTATAAGTTTTCATATCAAGGTGCAGGCAGGGAAGTTGGGTTACCTGGTCCTGGAGCTTCTGGAACATCAGAGGGTGTGGTTCTTCCAGGATCTTCTCATTGAGCCGAGACTGCCCCTCCACGTTGACCTGTGATGAGGCCTTGCTGGACAGAAAGGTCATGTAGATCTCCTTCGCCTTTTCTTGCATCTGGAGGAGACAGATGGGGCCTGTGTACTATCTGCACACCCAGCCTTCCTGGCTTGAGCCCTGCTGTCCCCTCCAGCCAGGCCCAGAGGAGCTGCTGTGGCAAGAGAAAGGTATCCCCTGCAGCCCGGGCGTTCTCAGGCCACTCCAGAGAGAATTTCTATCTGTGAGAGCCCACACCACCAAGCCCCTACCCCCTTCATGCATCTGCAGCCACATCTCCTGGAACAAAATTGTGGCACTATCCATTCAGAAGCGATGACAGAAAGAATCCCGGCCCGCAGAGAGTACTCAGTACCACTCACAACCATCCTGTGGCTGAGCGCAGTGACTCACGCCTATAATCCCAGCACTTTCGGAAGCCAAGACAGGTGGATCATTTGAGGTCAGGAGTTTGTGACCAGCCTGGCCAACATGGTGAAACCCCATCTCTACTAAAAATACAAAAATTAGCTGTGTGTGGTGGTGTGCACCTGTAATCCCAGCTAGTCAGGACGCTAAGGCAGGAGAATTACTTGAACCCAGGAGACAGAGGTTGCAGTGAGCCAAGATTGCTCCACTGAACTCCAGCCTGGGTGACAGAATGAGACTCTGTCTCAAAAAAAAAAAAATCAAGTTAAAGCATGCCTATCCCTACCAGTTACCTAGGCTGCAGACACCTGCTTGGAGTGGTCCCATTTCCTTAATCTCCTGGAGATGCAGCAAAGAGCATTTTCCTGTTAGCGCCATGAGGACACAGAGGGCAGGAGAGGTGGCATGGCTTATCTGAGAGCCTCTGGGAGCCTCAGGACTGTTTGGATCCAAGGCCTCTGAATTCTGCTCAGTTCCACTTCCGAGAGACATACTGGCCCCTCCAGGTGGCGCAGTCTGCGGCCCTCCCAGGCAGGTGCGTTTCCTTTTAGGTAAGGAGAGACTGAGCACGGCCAGTGGAGAAAACACTCGCTGCCCGCCCTCAAGTCTGAGTGCCATCCTGCTGGGAAGCACCGACTTCCTGTTTCACCGGAAATGCACCGAGGCTGGCTCAGGGCACTCACTGATGGTAAGGAGATGACCTCACAGCAAGAACTGTGTCTTCAGGACAGTGTGCCTCACCGCAGGGCTGCAGGCACAAGAGCCTTCTCCTCCAGGACTTCCCCGACGGCTCTATTTTCTTTTAGAGAAAGGAGACTTCCTGTGCTCATACCTCACCAACGGCAAAAACGGGGCTGTTTCTCTGAACGTTAGACTCTAAAGCATGACCTTACCCTACAGAGCAAGGCAGACAACAAATGCCTCTACAAGGCAGCCACACAGCTATGACGTGGGGGGGGGGGGCGGGGGCCTGGAAAACTGCCTTTCTCTCCATGAGCCCACCTAGGGGTCCACATGTGCTGTGGAGCTTGGTTTAGGAAATCCCAGGCTCTGCAAACCTGCCCTTAAGGAAGGTGGTTACCAAAAGGTTTTGACAGCTGGTTCGTGAAAGGAAGGAAGAGTAACCCTTTTTCTAGTTCAGGGGACTGAGGACAAAAGACTCCGCGAAGCCGCAGCGTGGCCCTGTCATGTCCTGCGGGAAAGCACGCCTCGCCAGCACCTGCAGGCAGACAGCGCAGGTTGCGTGAACGCCCAAAGCCATGCTGTCCACCCTGCCTTTACCGTCAACAGAAGCAATGCATCCATGCCAGACTCGGTGACACAGACGTCTCTCCAGACAAGCCTGGCTATCCAGGAGACAGGTCTGGGGGCTGCCTTCGAGACCCAAGGGGGTACCAACTAGGCGCTGGTCCTGCTCGTCTCTCCAAGAACCCACCGGCTCCATGAAGCCACAGCCTCCCACCCACCAACCCCACTCTGTCAGGAAGCAGCACTTTTGGAAAACCACTTCCTGTTTTAAAGCCACTTCATGAAAGGAGAATTTCAGCCAGGCAGATGAGCAAACTCCATGCAGAGTTCTGGGGACAGAAATCTCTTTAGACCTCCCCTTCCCTTGAATATTCACACACACACACACACGTGCACACACACACACACACGTGCACACATGCACACACATACACACATGAATCCAGGCTATCTTGAGTAATTCTGAATAGAGAAGTTCAGTGAGTGGCTTGAGTCTTTGAGGTGGGGCAGATGGGGACTGGGGAGAGGAAGTAGGTTCCAGGACCGCAGGAATTCAAGCCTCGAGGGTCTCAGCCCTGCCCTCTCCCACTGGCCATCCCTCCGGAGTTAGTGTGAGAACAGTGTGGGCTGAGGCCCTGGCCGGTGAGATACCCACCGTGAGCGGCTCCAGGGCTCAGCTTATCTCGGCTGGGCTAGGAAGTATGACTGAAAAGGGAAACCCTGACGCTGTGACCACAAGCCAGTCACGGGAAGGCCTGGTGTCTAGGCCGAGGACATGAGCGAAAAAGAAGAACCAGTCTCTGCAGATATTTTGGTAGATTTTTCCAGAGCTTTGTTAACTCTATTCTAGCTACTGTTTGGGTAGGAACAGAACTGGTGGAGTTGATTCTGCATCTGTGGCCTGGAAGGATGGACAGCTTCTCTTCGACGGCCCTGACTCAAGTGGCTGGCCACAGCCTGGACCAGAGAGCCTCTTTCTCCCTGGGGATACCCGACATGCCCAGCATCTGAAGGTGTCCTGGCAGGTGCTGGAGAAGGGCCCCACCTGGGCCCATCAACTCGGGGACTACTCATGGAGCACCTGCACCCCACCTGTGCCCTTCCAGGCACCCCATGAGGCTGAGGCCTTTCTTCGAGGCCTGGCAGTGCTTCGGCTGTGACAACGCTCAGCCAGACGTCAGCTCTCGAACCCTGCTCCCTGCAGGTGCATGATCAGGAGAAGCAAATTCACTTTCCTATCAGCTCCAGACACACACGTCTATGCAGATAAACTGTAAAGACACCAGGAGCCCAAAGCTCAGAATAGCACTGCCCATAACAGCCCCTCCCTCCCCTAGCAGCATGCTTGAACTTTCCCACCAGAAAAATAAAAGAGCCGCCCTTGCCCAAGCTGCAACCTCCACCTCCCGAGTTCAAGCAATTCTCCTGCCTCAGCCTCCCCAATAGTGAGGATTACAGGTGTGCGCCACTACGCCTGGCTAATTTTTTCTATTTTTAGTAGAGACAGGGTTTCACCAAGTTGGCAGGCTGGTCTCAAACTCCTGGCTTCAAATGACTCACCCGCCTCAGCCTCCCAAAGTGCTGGGATTACAGGCATGAGCCACTGTGCCTGGCCCCAATTCCTTTTTGAAATATCTCAAAATAAAAGCATGCACCCATGTCTCCATCGCCCCTCCCATTCTCTCCTCTGTCACACCCAGGCTTCTGCCCAGCCATTGCAGCTCCACCAGCCCACTGACGCCCCCCAGGAGAGGCCCCTCAGACCTTCCTCTGGAGCGAGCTGGCCCCAGCCCTGCTCAGCACCACTGTCTTCTCTTCTCACTTTCCCCACCTCGTAAGAGCCTGTCCTCTCAGGATCCCCAACACCTCCCTGTGTCTGTCTCCCAGCTTCTGTCTCCCCATCCCCTCTGTGAGTTCTGGGCTTTCCCAGACTTCTCACCTTGGCTGACAACTCTAATGCCATGTTCCCCCCAGATTTCAGCCCAACCATTCCCCAGGCCACTGACCCACATAGCCAACTGGTTTCTAGCAACATAGACTTGGACATCCCACCAACACCTTGAATTAACACAAACTAAAGGAGTGGTCTCCTGGCTGGCAGACCCCACAGCCACTACTCTGGGAAGCTGGAAACTTCAATCCCCTGTAGCCAATCCCCACCCCCATCCCATCTGCTGGCCTCCGGCTCTTCTCCACCCCGTCCTCTGCCAGAGATGGAATGCAGGAGAGAATTCCTAGGAAAATGAAAGGATCAAGACACTAACTTTTTCATATCAATTTCAGAAAGAAAATGAGGCAAAGAAAATGTCCAGTAAATGATATGAGAATATTTTCAAGAACTGGCTCAGGAAATGGATAGCAGTCAGAGGAACAGCAGATGACTCTGCAGACACAGAAAAACAAACCGAAGCCCCTGCACAGGTGGGGAGGGGGTGCCAACGAGAAGCACATCCAGAGATGGCAGGAGCTTGGGGGCACTGGGAGCCCAGATGAAACTGATGAGGGCGGCAGAAAGAAGCCATCAGACCTCCAGGTCCTCCAGCCCCTCTGCCAACCCTGAGCAGTCAGGTGGCTCCCTCCCCACCTTCAACAGAAGACTTGAGTTTTCTTTTCTCAAGAAACAGACCCAGGGAGGCTCCAGAACAGAGGCACAGAGGACGGCAGGAATGAGATGCCAAACTGAATAAAGGGATTCGGGGAAATTCCAAATACAGACCCTCCTAGCAAACTTCTCCTGACATGGTTAATTAGAAATACATTTAGTTTAGGAACATAGCAGGCTTGTGCCCCACCAAGAAGAGACTAGAGGGCGGTTGTCTGGAGAAAATAAAAAGGCAGAAAAAACTCAATAGGAGGATTTGAAGATAAAGTTGAAACCTCCAAAAACCAAAAAAAAAAAAAATTTAAAAATAGGAAGAATAAAAGACAAAATTAAGGGCTCAACGCAGGGGTGAAAGATCATCCTTGGAAAAGAGACCAGAGACAACGGAAGGAAAAAAAATTACTAAAATGATGATCGTAATAATAGCAACATAAGACCATTTCCCAGAACTACACATTTCCAGATTATAAGACTCCACAAAGAATCCACAAAAAGATTGAACTCTGTCTCCACCTCCAAAGCCCCTGACTGAACAATTTTAGAATATTGGTGAAAAGATCCTGACCAGGTGGAGTGGCTTACACCTGTAATTCCAGCACTTTGGGAGGCTGAGGTAGGAGGATTTCTTTTGAGACCAGCCGAGGCAACATGGTAAGATTGCTTAATCCCAGGAGGTCCAGACTGCAAAGAGCTGTGATCTCACTATATTCCAGCCTGGGTGACAGAGTGAGACCCTGTCTCAAAAAGAAAGGGAAAATGCCGGGCGTGGTGGTTCATGCCTATAATCCCAGCACTTAGGGGG